AGAAATGACTTGGTCTGGAATGAAATGAAATGAATGAAATCACTAATGATATCTCTTACTGGCAAGATTCATGAGCTGACCATCGGACAGCCATGCAACAAAAGCAGGTTGGAGAAACGGATGAGGTAATCTGGCCAAATAGCCCAACTTCAATTGTCCTCGCTCGTCTGTCAGATATTTCCTACATGTAGTGAATGAGGCCCATTCTACAGCCCTTGTCTGAGTGGAACTTAAAAGTAAAAAATGTCTCCAGTGTGACTGTAAATGGGTCTGGAATAATCTGTTTTGTTTAAAAAATTACAGCTCTATGATAGATAATTTGATAGATGATACAAGATACAAGAAAGCTAGAGAAAATATGCAGACTAAGGATCTTTCTTCCCTGTATCTCACACAGCACTTAACAGAGATGTTCTAAGCCACTATTGTAATTTAAATAAGAAAAATTACCTTACAAGACATAATTTTCTTCCCAGGGTAATTAAGAAACTCATGAATAAAATAAAGCAACCTGGTTTCATGTAGTGTACTATAAATATCTGTAAAACAATATTATAGCTTTCTTGTAATAGATAACGTGAAACAACAAAATGTCTGCAAAAGGAAAAATACATTATATTTATCACAGTGCTGTGACTCTACCCCAGAAGAAAATACATCCGCAACTAGTTATTGATTGCTAGTTTTGCTAACACTGGCTGCATATTAAAATAGCATTTATATTTGAAAAATGTAAGCAAGCTGATTAACCTAGAACTCTATAGGTAAATTGTCAGGCATCTGCTAAAGAGAAAGGGAAAAATTTTGAAACTTAACTAACTGATAAAAGCTGTAGAAAAAAATACGCTGGTTCTTTTTTTTCTAAAGGCAATTAAATTTTGTTCCAAGCATAAGTGATTCAAGAGCCAAAGGAGTGCATCTCTGTGGTCAATTGTAATCTGCTCTGCTAAGGAAAGCGTGTAGTGCAGAACTCTGCATGTACAAAGGAGTGTACCTGAGATTCAGAACTTGCTATCTGGGAGATGGCCAGGTGCTCAAATGTCTCACCAACTTCAGGACTTTCTTGGGTTGCCAGCGTAAGAAATGGGATGAGGCAGAGCACCACCGTTTAAGGATCTAGAGGTGCTGAGTGTCTTGTTTTCAAATGTAAGACATTTGGAGCCTACAGTCTTTTGAGATGGTTCTTCTATGCACTCCAAAATCAAGCACGAATATGGGAATTGGACATTTTCAAAAATCTGCTATTTGAGTTTCAGTCTGTCTTAGGTGACATCCTATCAGACATACAAAATTACTTCCTCCACCTAATACTCTAAAACTAAAAAATATGGTTTCAAAACTTCTAATATTTCATCCTTTCTATTTTGTTTTTTAAATTATCATTTTTTAATTTATAAGTGGTATACATGTGGTATAACATATGGTATAATGTTATATATTTTAATTTATCGTTACAAGTTTAGAGAAGCTTTGAATGAATGCGTACTGCGTCTTTTTGGTTTGTGATGTTCTAAACAAATTGGAAAATCGCTGTTTTTTTACCCACAGCAAAATGTGATCCAGCCTGTCGACATGGAGGTGTCTGTGTAAGGCCTAATAAATGCTTATGTAAAAAAGGCTATCTCGGCCCCCAGTGTGAACAAGTGGATAGAAACATCCGAAGAGTGACAAGGGCAGGTATTCTTGATCAGATCCTAGACATGACATCCTATTTGCTGGATCTAACCAGCTATATTGTATAGTTTCTGGGACTATTTGGAAACTTCACTTTCAACGGGCATTTGTTTTGAATCCTGTCATTTTTAAAAGACTGTTATCCTGCAACAAATACCGGTGATTTACTTTATTAATTTAAGTACAATATCCACGAATGTGCAGATAAACTCTTTGTATGTGCGTAAACATATCTGTACGTCTCCACAGACGTGCCGATATCCAATACGTGCACACATACACATGCACGCACTATCACAAATACGGTTTTACAGCTAGTGGAATTTTTTTTTATATTTATTTCTTCATGAGAAATAGTTTACAAAGTAATTCCACTGTAAACCACATTTTCATCAAAGGACTTTCGTGATGTCTAAATGGATTCTTTGACATCCCAGAAACCTCATGTCTGTACCTATCTGGTTCTAGCAATAAGAGAGCAGTTTTCAAACACCGCTGTATAAACTGCTGGACTTAATAAAATCCAGTTGTAACAGTTTCTAAGGTGAACGGAACTACATCATGAGACAATATTTCAGAACTCCTTAATGCATTCCTATCTAGGCAATTCATTGTAAGACTGTAACCTTCACCTTCATCAATGTAACTCTATTACAGAATGTTACGCATTTCTTTATCTAGCATAGATGCAAAAATCTGGTTATCGCAGCTTAATATCAAGATTGTTTCAAGTGTTTAATAATTAAATTATATTCGCATATTTCAAAACCAGTCATCCTAGAAGGTCTGCTTTTTATCATATATTTTATTTAACGATGGGCACTGGGTTCATGTTACATATTTATATTATTTTATTTTATTTTTATAATATAGACATCACCTAGATGAGACAGCTTTACCATGTCCTGTAAAATACTAAAGTTACATTTTTCACCAACTTAATTGGAAAGACGGGGAAAGAGAGAGCAAACACACTCTTTAATGTGTTGTGGATCTAATCTAGAAATGTATCCTTGTGTCAACTTGTATTCATTTACGACGGATGAAAAAAACAACCGCCAACCAATCATAATAAAATTCCAGCATATGTTAAAAGTGTTCATAAAGGGATTTTCACTGTAACAGGACGAGCCAGACTATACACAAGTAGACTGCTGCCGATTTCACACTGAACGGAACGTCCCTGGACGAGCGCTCACATGAGCACGTGTTGGCTGTGTAAGATGTCACTTGTACGAAACGTATAACTGTTCTCGCCAAACGCGGTTCTAAATGTACATGTTCCTTGAAGAGCTAACATAAAATTGAGTCTTTGCAAATGTATCAATAAATATGGTGTACATGCTATAGTCAGGTTTTCTAAAGTATTAATAGTCCCATCAGATGTATCTTCAGAACTGGTGCCCCCTTATCTCCAGCTCTAGGGCATTATCAGCAGTTTCTTTGCTCACTACTTACCGACTATCAGATTTCCTTTGCACTACCTGGGTCTTATAGAATCCTGCCCATGAAAAGCAAGCAGAGTAGCCACGGCATGCACATCCTATGGTTCTTATAAGCAGCCGCTCATGCGTCAACAATTTACAACAGTTTAGGCAATAAGATCTGAAAGACTTTTGCCATATTACTCTCCAATAGCAAAATTACCTCTCCGGGGCAGTGACATGCAAAGAATTTTCCTTTATAGAAAGTTGTCGGTCTTCATTTATTAAGTATTAAATCTGAAAGTACAGCCTGATACTTGCATTTCTCTGTCCTACGCATTCCAGCTCAGAGGAACAGAAAATTACATTTGCCTTCCATATATGTTTGCCTGGGTTTCGAGTGACCTCATGCCAAATGGAAATTGGTTGAGAAATCTTGGTTAAGTGCTCAGCGAACAATGGTCTGCATTAAAAAGTGCATGCATAATTTTGCACAATGTAGATTCAACTGACAGTCCATTGAAAGACGTCTCGGGATTAAATGAGCATGAAGACCAAATTGCCCTCTCACCCCAGAAAAGGGTGGTCCCTTATAGTCACACGAACACTTCATTGGCTAAGCAGTGTGACCAATCTTAAAATGAACCCTGCGGTAGCATCTGTAGGTTAATAGCAGCTCTTTGTCTCCGCTGCTTTCTGCCTTTAGTCTTTTCTCTGAATTCCATCACAAAAAAAGTTTTACAATTAAAAAATGTCCTGACAACCATTTTTGTAAATTGACCTTAGCATCTAATCTTTCCTTATTCAACGTGGGTGACAAAAATGTGAACTTCTCATGAATGAGCCAGCTGTCTAAATCTGTCAAATAGTGCAGTTTTATTACACTCTTCATAATCGGCAAACCAAGAAAGTCGCTGAAGTGTTTTAGCAACATTTAAATATCCGACAGAGATAACATCTTTAACACTTTCTTTAATGAAATATATTTAAAAATAAACCCAACTTTAACCCCACTCTGATGCATTATTTTCAACAACCAGCTGGGGAGATGTGAGAGTTCTTTTCTCATTGCTTAGTTCCTGGAGACTTAAAAAATACCACAGATGGTACCTAAATTGAAGATCCCCAGTAATATTTATGCCATAGTCATGTAGAGAAGGGATAACAATGATCTTAGAGTTTTGATCTTAATAATGAAGACAATTTAGTTTACTAGTGAAAATAAAACTCTAGTAAAAGCTAAGAATTAAATCCAGGCCTCATTCGAATCGATGGCAAAAACCTCACATCGGCTGTGCTGCACCCAGAAAATTGCTTTCAAAATTTAAGCAAAATACTTCAGTTTAGTTTATTTAAAAAAAAAAAAACAAACCTGTTTGAGTCATTCTATCAAAATTTCAAAACTAAGAAGTACTCTAAGTGAAGATTAGAGGGAGAGGGGAGATAGTTTGTGGAAAGTGTTTTGCTTCATTTTTAAATCATCTTTTATATAATGTGAAAGCAAGCATCTGCGTTAAGCCCACATGGATACATAGGAAGTCCCAGTGGAATAGAAGTATTCTAAAAAAAAAAAAAAAAAAGACACAAAAAATCCTAGCTCTTATTTATCAAAAGAAATTATACTATTAAAAAGAGTGAGTAAACCCCAGGCCTAGCCACCCAAGATGCTAATATAAAAAGGGCAACTGCAGTAATTGCCCTGAGAATTGGCATACAAAAAAAAAGGGGGGGGGTCTGTAGAAAGCTTGTTGCCAGTTAGGTCATTCTGCAGCCATTCTCACACAACCTCCGAGAGTGTCCCAGAATAAAACTGAGCTTATAAATGAAACTAGATAAATGAGGCAATTAGATAAGGGCCTCCAGAAGGGATTTTATGTATGTGCTCAAGTTGTCTCTGTCTGTCTCTCTCTCCCCTAATCTTTTATTCCATTCATTTCTTCCTTTATTCGGAGATACTGCCTCTCTGTTCCCAACACATTGTACATTTCAAGCATTCTTTGAGGCTGTCTACTGTTAAAAGAGAACAAACATACCTGTTGCAAGAAACATAACTCTATTCCTGATGTCTGCTAGTTTTCAACCCTCATTTTATTCTTTTGGGACAGGAAACTTCCCTTTTCTTTTTAAATGCCACTGATCAGAAAGAAGGCGTATTATTGGAATATAAGGAGAAACGTCTTTACTCCATAGATAAGTAGGGAGACAAAAACATGTTATGTAAAATGAGCTCCAAATTATTTCACTCCATTTCAGAAAAACACTAAACTCATTTTTCTAATGTGTTCAGTAAGAAATATGAACTCAAACCCTCCCCCTCAAGGAAATAAATTTCTTCCTTTAACAGTCAGGGACACAGATGCAAACCCTTTGTACCTTTAAATCCTCACAGGTTATTCTATTTCATGCAAACAAAGCATAAGTTCTGTATAAATAAGAGTATAAATTCTATATTGCCAACATGACACCTCTGTTTATCTCCCTCCTTTCATTCGCTTCTCCACATTTTGGCTTTGCAATTCCTTCCTTTCTAGAACCACAGCAAACGCCGATAATCCCTGGTTGCTGCCAGTGATACTTTTTATTTTTGAAACTGCCTAATAGCCCAGTGCATCATAGAGGCTTCCCAGCAGGCTGAGGTTTTTATCTGTTGATCATTCTACACAACTTTGTTATTTAATAGTGACTTCAAAAACTGTATCTTAGCTGGGCATTTACAGTTCAGGAGTAGCAGGCTCAAGCAGCTCAGCCACAGAGAGACTGAAGCTGGAGGAAGGGAGAAAGCACTCGGTCACTCTGCAGTCACTGTGCTTATCACAAAGTTACCAGATTCCAGCCAATAATCAGGTGCCTCAAGTAAAAAGCAGAATGATATTCCTGGGACGATGAAATGTTGCTTTTCAGTATACACTTTCTCTAATTTGGGGTTAGACATGAGGATATTTTCATGTACAAATATGAAAAAAAACCCCAACCACTAATTCTGAAAACACAAACAAGTAATTTTTCACAGGTGTAAAGTCCCATTAAGGTAAAAATAAATATTCGTACTTGTAATTCTACTTCTAGCCATGAAATTGGCATTTATTAGATTGGGTCTACATGAAAAAATCAACTCCAAGGACATCCTGCTCTGCTTATTTTTCCTTAATTACGTAAATCCTTTAAAAGACATAATGCTTTTTATTTTACTGTCCTTTAGTTTAACTCTGTATCAGTTTAATTAGGAATGATACCATTTTGATCTTCTGTCCAACTTAAAAGGTGATCTTTGTCTCAGAAAAAACAGAAGGTAGCATGAATAAATAAAAACTATTTTTTCCTATTTTGCCATTAAAAAATGACCAATATTTTATTTTTGTCATTTAAAGAAAATTAACTAAGAGTCTCAACAAAAAGGCAACCAAGCCTTTAAATTTATTCTAATCCAAATTTGCAGAAAATACGTACCAAATAATCTGGGTTCTGGCTACAGAAAACTGATAAATATTGCCATAAGTAGTTTCAGTGCAAAATATTGTAGAAACATTGAAAAAAGTTAAGACTGTTTTGCTAAAATGTTCGTGTTTTCAACAGCAGAGCAATTCAGTGAAATAAGACACATGTACTTCTTAGGATATAGGTGTGAAACAGCAGAAGCCACCTGAAAGCTTAGCACGGGATTACTTTAATCTTTGAGGGCCTGACTCAAAGTTCATTGATGTCCACTGAAAATCCCCTATTGACTTCACTAGTTATAGGATTAAGTCCTTAAAAGATATCCACTTAGCTGGCAGAAGATCTTAACTTCAGACATCAGTGCCCACATGACCTCTCCGTGTCTGCATCTGCAGTCATTAGACGCACCAAGGTTTGCTGGAATAAAACTGCAGATTCAGCCCTGCGTAAAGGCGTACGGAGCAATCCTACTTAAAGCTGTACGGAGCACATCCAGTCCTCTTGGGTTTCCTTATAGGCATTGCCAGCAGTTACACAAGGCGTCTATTAAATCTGACAGACTTCTTGATACTTCTTTAAAAACATTAAGCAATCGGCTCGCGTTTTTTCTCTTTCACACACGTATATGCTTATTTCAAATATGTAAGCGTATGCAGCTAAGCAGGAAAGTAATTAAAATACCAAGTCAGTGGCCCCATTTTATGAAATAGCCATAGTAAGACGGGGCCCTGAGTTGTCCCCACAGATGCTCACAAACATCCACGGAAGAGTGCCCTCGACTGTTTTGAGCCCAGTATCACAAAGGCTGAATTCAGCAGCGTTAGGCACATTTTCAAACCTTTCTTTCTGGATTTTATAGGGATGGTGTCATATTTCAATCGAGACTATATACAAATCATAAAATGTTGTTGTCACCCTTACTAATAAGGCTAGTGAGACTGAAGGCGATGAGAGTCCTCAGTAGTGAAATGACAGGCGTAAGCGATTACGGGGTGGGAGATGAGCAGGCATTCTAGAGACGCGTGCTAGGCAAAGGGACAGCCGCTTGCCTTCGCACTCATTGATTTCCATTACGACTCTGCACACAGAATTTATTGTGCTATAAAATGCACAACACCCAAACAATCTTAGCACAGCAATTAATTCTGCGTAGACTGACACTGGGCAGACTGACTAATCA